GTCCTGTTCCCAGCCTCTGACTGCAAGCACTAGATTATGCTATCCCCCCCTCCAGAGCATCATATTTATGGCACACAGAATGAGTATTTTCTGGTGTACAGCAATAGAAGATCCTACACAGCATTATGTCTCCCAGATTGGAGGGGAATAAACACACCCGACAATTTTTAATAATATTGGGGAATCAGGATTTCAGTTAGAAGGCATGTGAATGAGGCCAATTAAATACTGTGCCAATTCCTTCTAATGATGTTTCTTCAGATTACGGGGTAATTACACGTCATGGTTCTAAACGAAATCAGTGTTACCTGCACTCTGGTGAGAAATAATCATACTCTGCGGAAGATATTATTTTAACGTTCCTGAAAAGTGCCATGCAGACTGAAATCCTCCATGCATTCAGGACCTGACCTAAAGCCCACTGCAGTCAATGGATTTCCGTGGACTTCGGATCAGACCTTCGTAGAACAGCTACTGCCTAGGCCGCAGCAGCACTAGCTTCCCCACACAGCCCCCCTCAACACGTCCCAATCCTGACCTGGGGGGGGACCCACCTCGAAGCCTCTGTGCTGAGGCTGCCAGTAACAGGTGAGATTTGCAAAGACACCAAAGGGATTCAGGAGCACAAGTCTCTGAGTTTTAAAGGGATTTGTGCTCCTGAACCCCTAAGGTGCTTTTGAAAATCTCCCCAGTGGTGATGTGGGCAGATGTGTATTAGGTACTGGAGGGAGAACACACAGCAGCAGTAACTTACAATCATTAGCAAGCTGCAATAGATTAGAATGAGCGGAGCATTTTATTGACCGTTTCTGATCTCCCCAGCACTTCCATACCCCAGAAATATCTATATATACACACACATCATCTAGCTACAGTCTAGACTCTTGCCACTATACAGTGCCGCTGTCATTTAGGGACAGAGCTATGTACATACCTGAGACGTGTGTATTTAGATACATGCCCTCTGTGTCATAGACTCAGAGAGTTTAAGGCCGGAAAGGACCATTCTGATCATCTAGTCTCACCTCCTGCATAATACAGGCCAAAGAACGTCATGCCATGATTCCGACATTGCGCCTCACAACTAGTGGTTGAAGAAGAGCAAAGCTAGACTATTTCTTTTTAGTTTCTTCTTTTTCAAGAGGGGAGGTTCAGTAACTTGCCAGCGCCAGCTCTCTGGCACGCCTTCCTGTCTCCCTAGTAAGCAGCATTGGAATCAAAGACAGGCTCATGGTGCAGGGGCGAGAGAAGTTTTTAATCTCCCCCTGTCTTGGCTGGATGGCCAGGTCTCCCCAACCCCACAGTCTGGCAGGCATGTTGCTCCACATTCCATCCCTGTATCTTTTTGAATGGTGCTCAAGGGAAAGAAAACAAAACCAACATGCAGCCACCTGGTTGAAAAAGCAAAGCAGGATTGAAACTCACTTGCAAGGAACATGAGAGCAGCACTCCATTGCACCTTGCGTTAACACCACGGGGGCGATAAGTCTGGCCCTAGGGAAACACGCAGCCATCGACCCCCAACACCCAGTAACTGCAAAGGTGCTCAATGGCAACTATGTTGTGGGGAGGGGGAATTCAAACAAGCTGTTCATTCATTAATAAAGATACAAATAAAAGCCATTATTACAAGTTGTGCAGCCCCCCACACCAGGGATTGAACCAGAGACCTCCACAGCTAGAAGTAGGACCTACTACAGCCTGAGCTAAAGAACCAAGCAGTGATAGCTATGGGCTGTAACAAGTTGTAGCCTCTAGAGTGGACCTTGTAACACACACTCACCTGTGGGTTACCTAGGTTTTTATTTATTTATTTATTTATTTATTTATTTTAAAGATTCAGTACAAATACCTGTGCCTATTTCGGGCAATCCTGGGGCTCCTGGCAGGTCTCCAGCATGGCAATCAGTGCAGTAAAGCTCACACCTTCCTGTTTCATGCTTCAGATCTGCCTTCTAAACACTACAAAGTATGCGCCGGGCAGACTGTATCCAAGTATTTGTAGGCAGTAGTTGTGGGGATTGAAACGCTGTTTGTGGCTTTTGATAAACGTATAACAGATCAGGTACCAGTTAGCACACTTCTCTGGGGCCTTTATGCTTCCTGTGGTGAATACTTTCTGGTGATCAATGACAAGAGATGAGGGGGCTCAGTCCTCCCCAGAGATGCCCACCACCTCACTGGACCACAGCTTCCAGGACTGAATCATACGATCTCACTACTTATTAGGGCTGCATATTTGGGTTCCCCTAGAATATTACAATATTTGTATTTACATCTTTTGGCTTTTTAATGCCCGCGGGAATCATCAAAGTAGCTAAAATAACACCTGACCTGTTCTCCTTGGTCTGGTGTTATTTTAGCTACTTCGATGATTCCCTTGTGGTATATCTGTTCTCCTTGTGGTATATCTGCCATTCACTAACTGAGCTCATGAGAAGATCATATCTCACCTTATTTTGCCCTTAAAGCAGTGCAAATTAAAAACATGACTACAAATCAACATATATGAGCACTAGCTCTTGTGACACCCCTGCTATTTCATTACTCTGCAGATAGTCTTGAACAGGGGTCTCAAACACACGGCCCGTGGGGTTCTTCCCTGCGGCCTGCCAAGCTACCCGCTGCCCCCCCATCTCCTCCCCAGCGCGCCGCGTCCCCCCTCCCCCGGCCGGATCCGGCCCCTCAGGGCTTTGGATCCAGCCTGCGGATTTGCCAACCCCATGATGTTGAGGACCCCGCGCTGGTCCGGGAAGCCGCGGACATCGCATTCCTGTGGCCCCGGGGAGAGGGGGAGCAGAGAGCTCCATGAGCTGCTGTTGCCTGTGGTTACCTCCCTTGAAGCTCCCATTGGCCGGGAACGGGGAACCGTGGCCAATGGGAGCTTCAGGGGAGGTACCCGTAGGCAAGAGCAGCGCAGGGAGCTCTCCGCTCCCCCTCCCCCCCAGGCTGCAGGGATGCGGTGCCCGCCTCTTTCCGGAGCGGAGCAGCACGGGGCCGGGGCCAGCAGGGAGCCTATCCTGGCCCCGATGCGCCCCCCTGCCACCCTGGAGCTGCTCCAGGTAACCGGTGCCGGGCCGGAACCCGAACCCCTCCTGCACCATGCACCCCAACTCCCTGCCCTGAGCCTCCTGCCTGCATCCCAACCTCCTGCCACACCCTGCACTCCCTCCTGCACCCCAACCCCCTGCTCTGAGCCCGCTGCTGCACCCTGCACCCCTCCTGCACCCCAACCCCCTGCCCTGAGCCCCCTGCTGCACCCCAACACCCTGCCACACACCACACTCCCTCCTGCACTCCAACGCCCTGCCCTGAGCCCCCTGCCGCACCCCACACCTCTCCTGCACCCCAACCCCCTGCCTTGAGCCCCCTGCTGCACCCCGCAGGCAGGGGTAGGGGTAGGGGTGGGGGTGGAGTGGGGGGGCAGGGCCGGGGACAACGGGAGGCGGGTGATGCGGCCCTCGGGCCAACGTACAAGTCCTCATGTGGCCCTCCTGGTGATTCGAGTTTGAGACCCCTGGTCCTGAAGCTTCTGTGGAGAGCTCAAAATGCTGCTGCCATTCAATGTGCAAGCCTAATGGTCAATGCATTATAAATGGTATTACGAACTGATCAGATTCCCAGGAAGAGTTTGCTCATTGACTGAGAAACAATAAAATGTATCAGGTGACCCTGGTTCACCCTGCAAAATTATAGCTGCATGGAAAATGTCTTGGGGGAAATAAACTCAAGCAATCTAGCAAAGCTCTGCTGTCTTTCAGGAAAATTCCCCTTTGCCCCCACACTTCAGATATTCAGCTCACACACACAAGTCATTTCCTGTCATATCTGTGAACAGGGGAGCATTTCAAGCCATAAATATTCATGTAGAGATGGGCTGCTATGACACCTTCAAAATTTCAGCAGTCTACAGTCCTCACCATAACCTGCATACAAACCCTAAGACCTTTTCATGACATTCCTTTTCAGCATATTATACACACGGCAAGACAACACAGCTGATGCAGAACAACAGAAACTTGTCAGAACAACGTGCTAATCACTTCTATTTTATACAGAGAAAATTCTCATACAAAGATGGACCTTCCATTCACCTGCTCAAAGACCACAACTAACAGATGGTAGCGATATTTCATTACCCCCTTTTCATTTAATTCCTCACAGATCTTGCCAGCTCCCCCCACTCAACAAGTATCAGACTCGGGATTCTGCAGCAAGAGCCTTCTCCTCGGCTCACCATTTATTTTAAAATCTCTTCTGATATCAGATCTATCTTGGTCCTTGCCCAGACCTTTTTAAATTTCCTCTCCCCCTCTGCTATTGTTGGCTGTGATAACTTCATAACTGTATTATTTCACTCTCCAAAAAGGTTTGGGATCTGGTTTGTATGAAAGGGGCTATACAAAATAAGTTATAGGCCAAATAAGTTATAGGCCAACATTTTCAAACTTGGGTACCTAGAGTTAGGCACCTAAAAAAGTGGTCCATATTTCAGAGATGCTGGGCAGACACAGTTCCCGTCTGGCCATTTATTTGGGTGCTTAACTTTAGGCACACAACTTTTGAAAGTTTGGGCCACATGGATTGCTGTCACACTGTCAATTTGTGTTGTACTAATGGCTTCTGAAGTGCAGCCTCGCATCTAGTCAGCGCAGAGTGGAAACCTCTGCAGTACAAAGTTGGAGCAGTCCACCCAAGGAAGACAATGTTACCAGGGCAGGGCATAAGCTGAATGTTGGCAAGAGCTTTCTCTGGCACCTGCAAATACAATCCTTACTGCAGACTGCCAATGAGAAGGAAAAAGTCTAACAGCAATGCCTTGAGAGAGCAGGGGAGAGGGCTCTTCTGTACCCAAATGGTTTATGTTACATTGAAAATAAAGGCGGAAGGTAGTGAAAATCCCCACAAAAGAGAATGCTAGGAAGCCTCACTGCAAAGGCTTAAGCTAGGGATAACTTTGATCTTACAAAAGCAACCAGACTCACTGGAGAGATACTTACTTGGCCTGCACTTGTACCATACGATGAGGTACTTGCCGGTTCCAGGGCACGGGTCTAGACCAAACAGCCGGCTATTGACAAGGAACTGGCAGCTCCGTCTGTCCTGGCACTCATCCAGCATTTTCTACACGGGCAAGGGCACACATACAAAAAACAAACAGAAAAATAGAAGCACTTTAGTACCTATCAGAGTGCACTGAATGGAGAAAGGCTTCAGAGCAGCAGTGTGATCTTGGCCTCACTGAACAGCATGATGAGATTGCACTGAAGAGGCCGCCAATTCTCAGTGCCCTGGAATTCCAGGGACTCTTCCCAGCCTTGTTCAGTGCACACACAGTCCAACAACAATGGCCAAGTTCAGCCTAATGCTACAACATTAATCCAAAAATGTATTTGGCCCAATGGGGCCCTGACCTTAGTTAGGAGCTCTAGGCACTACTATAATACAAAGAACCACAACCACTTTACATACCCAAGTTCCCACATAACACCGTTCCAGGCACAAGCCAACCAGATAATGAAATGAATGGATCAGAGTGTTTGTTAGATAAGAAAAGGGAATCCAATTATCTTTCCCCTATTGAAAATCTGTATTTCAGATTATTTTTCATGCCATATCCATGCAAATTCTTGCAAACAACCCCCCTAAAATCAGTTGTTCACCCAGACTTATTATTGTGGTACTGCTTGTACCTTAGAAAGCTCACAGTGACGGGCCAGATCCCCAGCTAGCTCAACTCGGCATAGCTTCATTTGCCTCAGTGGAGTGACACTGATAGATACCAGCTGAGGACCTGGCCGACTGAGTGCAAACAAAGCAGACTGAATGGCAACATTGCACCACAGGGGCTGTGGGGGATTCCAATGGATGGCACGGCTGAAATGCTAGCTAGCAGCCCAAATTAGATCATAATGCAAACATCTGAGATTTAAGTGAATGAGTGTGAAAGAGAGGGAAGCAAGCTCAACACTGGAAATTTTAGGAAAGATTGAGGCCTTGGGTAAAATTTTAGCACCTAGGAGCTCCTCAGTCACTTTTAAAAATAGGACTCCTAAGCCACTTAAATGCTTTTAAAAATTTCATCTACACATAAACTTGCACTGTGTTAAATTAAGGTTTGTTTTTACACCACTTTAGTTAAGCCCTGGGTAGATTTTGCTTTAAGAATGGATTTTGTCAATTTAGCTTAATCAGGCAAAAAAATGGAGGGTTTTACACTGATTTAACTAAAGAGATTTAAAAAACACACTTTTCATTAAAATGGTGTAACTTTGTGTGCGGACAAGGTCTGAGAGACAGATAGTTCAGGAGAGAGGATTGGCGTTGCCACAGTGAGTACCAGATCATGAAATATACAGGACCAAATCCCAGTCTGACGGAAGCTATTGACAATCTGACTGTTGATTTCACCGTGTGGTCAGGATTTGGACCGCATACTTTTAAATGCCTTCTTTTGTTAGGGTACGTCTTCACTACCCGCCGTATTGGCGGGTAGCAATCGATTTATCCAGGATCAATATATCGCGTCTCGTTAAGACGCGATATATCGATCCCCGAAGCGCTCACTGTCGACTCCAGAACTCCACCAGAGCGAGCGGCGGTAGCACAGTCGACGGGGGAGCCGCGGCCATCAATCCTGCGCCGTCTGGACCCCAGGTAATGCGATCCAAGATACTTCGACTTCAGCTACGCTATTTGCGTAGCTGAAGTTGCGTGTCTTCGATCGATCCACCCCCCCCCCCAGTGTAGACCAGCCCTTAGTTATAGAAAAGGTGCAGCAATTGTCAATCTAATCACTAGCAGTCGAGGTGGTAGGAGTATTACTCAGCCGACTTAGTTTTGAATGGGACTCACTTTTCCCCCCTTCCAGTGGTTTCAATTTAGCTAAACTCACGCAGGGCTTGGGAGCCTGATGGGTTCTCCCATTTCTCATGTTCTTTGAATTACCTTCATACACGTCTCCATTCATAAGACCCCTTATAAAACTCCATCTTAAAATCCACAGGGGAAAGACATTCTGTCTCCTGATAGAAAATGGCTTCATTAAGAAAGATTAATGATTTTTATCCCTATGATCCTTTAAAGCAGAAGGGGGGGGGGCAGTAAGTGGGGCAGTAATTAAGTTTTATGTTCAGCTAGATGACTTAGGTGGTATTTACATACTTCTGTGGAGCCCCTTAAAGCTCTAAAATTACCATAATGTTTGTCTGACACACATGAACCTGTCAGAGCATTTTGACTGAGACCACAGAGTGAGATAATTCATTGGCATCGTTAAGTCCCTGCTTAACAGAGCTATGAATTCCATTCCCAACCTGATTAATTTTCACTTACAAGGCGATTTCGGCAAACTGTGTCTCAGAAACTCTCCCAGCCTCTCTCCACTCCTCTTTCTGTTCCCTCCTCTCACATGGACCTGCTTTTTGTCCCTTTCCATAATCCCACCACTGTACCTCCCATGCCGACACTTTCTTCTCTGCAGCTTCTACCATTCAGACTAACTTTCTCACTATCTCAGTGATTCTCCATCTATTTTCAAATCTCAGCTGAAAATAATATATTTCCTCCCTAGCCAACACCCCTTCATCTCTCCATCTCCCATATTTATAACAGGCACAGCAATGGCTGCTCCAGTTTAGGTTACATAGCAGGTTCCATTCTAAACCCCAATATTTTTGGTTGTTCAGATACTTCGGAAGTTTTCACCTTTCTGGCTGACATTTGCCAGGCTTTGTCTCTGCTTGAAGTTTGTTGATTTATTTTAATGTTTAAACCAAGACATTTCAGCCATTTTTGAGGGCAAAGTGAACAAAGAGCATACTTGTGATCTTTTCAATATAGAGATCTACAGATGAAAAATCTGGGAGCTGAATGGAAATAGGATGCATTAAGATGAGGTGCCTAGGAGAGTTTGGGGATAGCAAGTTATTTAACTAAGGCATGAAAACTCTGTGTTTAGGTCACCCAGCATATTCTTCTCACTATGTTGAAAATGCACTCATTAGTCAGTAGCCATGTTCTATACAATCCAGGTGGGATTTTCAAAAGCACTCAGCATTGACTTAACTACTCCCATTGAAACCAATGGGAAACTACCAATGATTTCAGTGGGACTAAGTTAAATTAACATGGAGCACTTTTGAAAACCCCACCTTCTATGTGCAACCAGTACCCACACAGCTTTCCCTAGGCACAGTGCAGAGAGTGAGACAGCTAACCACTAAGCTAAGCTAACTATGAACGTAGGTGGTCTTTACATGCCAACAAATGTTCATTATTCCTTTGCCTTGTTATACACTAATCTCCAGTATGTACCACTTACTGCATATTTTTCACATAAATGACTTCCTGGTTCTCTTTGTCTGGCATACAGAGTAGTACACAGCACTAGAGCATGCTACATACTGGTGTATCAAAGGACATAGAAGAAATTAACCATGCAATTGCAAGATTGTACTGGAATGCTAGGGGCTAAGTTAAGGTTGAGTGTGAAAACTTTTTGAATATCTAACTGTGCAACTTCAACATTAAGTAGAGCTGGTCAAAAAAGGGAGAAATTATTTCATGAAAATATTCAAAATTTTAAATTATTTTTATGTTGTGTGGTTTAAAATGGGCATTTTGGCAAAAAAAATGCTGAAAATTTTATCAAAATCATTATTCACATTTTCTGTCTAAAACCTGGGCTTTGCTAAATAAAAAATGTTTATAATTATTGCAATCTTTTTAATAAAATTATCAATAAAAGTAATGGAGCATTTAATAAAAAAGGGAGAAATGCAAATCATGCCACAAAAACCCATTCTTGATTTTAAAAGTTTTTGCATTAAACATGTAGACCCGCTCTTACATTAACTTTTCTTTAACTGGAATTTATCTTTGAACTCTATAATATATCTTGGATGCATTCTGTATGATGGATGTGATCTTAACAAAAATTTTGTCTTTCCACATGTACCACTGAAAATCTTTCCCCTGCTATCCTCATCTACATTTTCCCTACACTAGACAAAAAGTTTATAAGTGTGTCAAAAGTGGTGCTGACTTTTCAAATCAGTCAATGGGTGATCAACTGACACAACTGACATGTCATGGGACTTTCTTACCAGGGAGGCAATTTGTTTATTGTTTATTAATCTACTGAGCGTCAATTTCCTTTGCAAAGTCACAGATGGCAACAAATTATGTTGAACAAAGAAAGCTTTCTGTTTATTCTCTCCTGCTACTTCCTACTTGATTCGCTCCCAGTCACTGTGAGCTGAGAATAACAAATCACTGCTGAGGAGGTGGAAAGGTGCAACAACAAAATGAGAAAAATACCCTTGAACAGTCTGGACATGTATAGAATTCACATGCAGAATTAACCATGACTCTGACATAATCATAGTCTGGTGGGCCCCTCAGCTAGTACAAAATAAAGTCACATTGTATTATAAAAATCACACTAACTGGGGAGGAGACGGAATCCTTGTCTGGCGCAGACGGGGAGGAAAGACTCCTTAATTGTCTTGTGCCATTTTATAACGGGGTTCCAGCGGTAAATCAAGCCTCAGGGCTGACAGTCAGAGCCCACAAGGGAAGTCATGGCAGTTTAAATCCATTCCATTCTCTGCTCCATGATTGAGTTGAGAAGCCAGGAGATTTAGGGGAGATAAGAAGGAAAGAAAGCCAGGTGAATTTAAGCAAAACAAACACCAATCTGACCGCTGTGATTTATGCCTCTGATTAATCTCGCTCCAATGACCCAGCTCTTAATGTGAGAGCTGCTGCAAGATCAAAATCAGGTCTTTCCATGGGTACTGAGAAGCTACACACTTGATAAACTTCATTGTGTTCTCTAACGGGGGAGGAGGAGGAAGGGGTTCTTTATTAAATGAAATCAAAGTTAAAAAAAAAACTCAATTGGGTCACTGCAAGAAGGTGTTTTAAAAACCCACCCTCTACACATACATACTTTTTTATCTCTTCGTGATATTCACCAAGAATTACTTGCCTTGAGCATCATTCATTTTACATACACCACCACTGAGTTTAACACCTCATTGCAAACCTATTCCTGTTTTAATTCCATTGCAGTCAATGGAGCTAATACACCCAGGGTGACATCCTGACCCCACTGAAGT